TGAAGTTGTTTCTAGTCTTCTACATCCGTGAATGAATTGATTGATGTTAGAGACAACTGATGGGTCATATACGCCGGGGAGGCTATTGGTGAGAATGAAATGCATACGGAGATAATTATTAGCTGCGGTCCCACGCGCCGGGGAGCGGGAGTGTAAACGACTGAGGCTCGCATGCGTCACCGTTACTAGAACTGAGGTAGAATGAGTGACAAGCGATTGCAGTGGTAATTGGTAGTGAGTAGATAAGTGGATCTGCGTAGAGTATCGTGAGGTGCTGCTATGGTCATGTTGCATTGTGCAAGAGTCATTCTAGTAAGTGGCGATTGTGTTGCGAGATGTCAAGAGGATGCCTTTAACTGGAAGGCGGAGGTCGTCATTGATGTGTGAGATTGTGCTGTGAGTATGCTTGTGGTGTGTTGGCTTTTCTGTTTGTTTTCCATTTCAGCTTTGTCCGTGTGACCCAGGTTCTCGCAATGGCATCCAAGTCAACGTGTATTGATCGTGATGGAAAAAAGGGATGGATCCTTTTTTTGCCGGGGAGTGTCAATGTAGTTGAAGATTGAACGATCAATTCATGGTTGTTTGCTCAAAACCAACTTCCCCAATTTTCGCGGAGGCATCAATACACCAGTCATCGTCTCATCGGTCGCTTTTCAGAAAGATGTCAGACCAAAACTGCCAGAAGTAATATTGTGATTTATTATTGTAATATTTGTTCATAGACCTTAGTTAAAGCTTAATTTTAAAGTTGGCTATATATTGGTGTTACAATAAAGAATTCTCGAGTGGCCAATCGGTGTTTTCGTTTTGCGTCCGTTATTACTAAGCGTTTCTGAGAAATTACAAGAAACAGCGTGAGTCCCAGCGTAGCAACAGCTGGGCATTGACGGTTTACGAAACGTGGCTGACGGTGCCATTGTAAATGACTCCACGTAATCACTTTGTGATTGAAGCAGTAAAGGAGGCCGTAAATGAATGTTAAGGAGGACGTGATTTGAGTCCACGTGGAAGTAATACTATGGAAGTTGTGGGCATTAAATCTTGCGTTAGTATACTTCGTGCTCTCTGTGAACGTCAGTACCTTTAGCCTCTGAGACTATGTGTTCGTTATTCTTGATGTATTTTACGGCTTTCGTCTCTGGTTTTGTCAGGTTAGGCTTTCCACGTTTTTGTCGTTTTAATGTTAGTTCACATTGTGCCCGTACTTCGTTAGCCGCTGTTTTGTTTATCCCACTTAGTGCTATCTCTATTTTAGTGATGGCATCCTCAGGTTTCAGCTTGCCTACAGCTACATTGAAATTTAGTCCCTTTCTGATACCCTTATTTCTATGGGACCAAACACGTGTTGAGAGATTAATAGCCTACTTTGTGTTACTGGTCGCCATCGTTCCCGAATGGAGGTTTCTCCTCCAATAATTTATCAAACGTTTTGAAAGCTGATGATTTGGTATTGCTAGATGACTGTGTTATAATATCGTAATCCTCAGTGGTAACTAGTTGCATTAGTTTTTGCTTTAGCTGTTCGATTTTATTTCTGATATGGTGCAACATTTTAACAATTCCGTAGATCTCTTCTTCTAGAAACATATATTAAGTAAGCAGCAGTCAGTGTTGATTAGGTATGAAACCACGGCCGAACGAAAATGTAATTATTGGCCAAGTTGAAGATGATAAAATTTCTACCCAGCATATGATTTCAGCTAACCTAATGCGGTGATAATAATTTCGGTTTTGTTTTGACTAATACCTTGTCACCTGTGGTGGTAAATTTCCGATTGGCAGAAAAAGTGGCTGTCGTCCTCTCATTCTGAAGGTTTGACTACGAAGGCTTACTCTCACTCATAATCTATGATGTCAACTAGAGAAGACGCCTTCCAGACGCAAGTCTTCAGACAATTCATGCTGATGTAATGCCTGCCTGCTACAGTAAGCAGATGATGCTGGCACGAAACGGACACATGAACTGCACTTTGGAAAACTACAGCATTACTTACCACCAAGGCCTATGGGTTGATACGTCTCTTGAAGTACGCAAAAATCTACTCAATATAGCACCGGTCACTGTCTACCTTTCGGGAAAGGATGCTTAGTCCATAATCGCTAGGAACTATTATTATCATTCCCTTGAATACCGAGCGGAATATAGGGTTTCAACAATACGTCTCTATTTCACCGTTTTTCGAAGTCCTTCTAAGATGGCCCCATGGGTGCCCGTAGGCTCTCGCCTCCTCTTCACACGATACCCTCCAAGTCACTCTCAACCGCCTTGCTCGATCATTCCCACTCAAATTCCTCCAGAGAACCTGCCGCTTGGAACCACTCGAAGGTCACCCGAGCTAGATGAAAATTTTCATACAAGCATGCGTTTTCATGTAAATTTATATGTTTATATGAATATATAAATTATTATTATTATTATTCGCACGGAAATCTCTTCAGTTTTACAGGTTTCACCAAACATGATATATTTGCATTGAGCGGAATGCCAATTAATTTTCGCTGCTTCTGTGATTTAAATAGTTGGTTTGTTGCGAAAGCTATCAGTATATTGCCATTTAGATGTTTAACTTCAAAGCTTCTCACAGAAAAGTAGCCTGCAATGACGTCATCCTCCTTGTCAGCTTAACCGAGAGCCTCACGACACGTAACTAGTTCTGTCCTGGTGTTTTCATTTCCCAGCTTGGTATTCATATCACCCATCAGCATTTTGGTGCCTCCATCTTTTCAAGGTCTTAATTATTACTATCTGCATTCATCCTTATTTTTCCATCTGCGTTGTTTGTAGGTGGCCTACCATCTTAGTTGAACCTTGTTGTCATAATCCTAGAGGACTTTGGTCCCCACTTTACAAGCACTTTCGATACTATCTATGACGTCGCGGCACTCACCCCCCCATTGTATACGTAGCTGCTGTCTGTATGACTGGAGTAGATTACTGACTCTCCAATTGATAGTTTGGAGAGTCCACCTCCACCCCACCTGTTCGCACAGATTCCTAGCACTTCCATAATCTACCTTCTAATTCCTTTTGCAATCTGGGCGACCTTGTGTGCTTCAAACATAATACTAACATCCTTGTGTCAATGCTTACGTTTCCTTCAAAGAAAGTATAATTGCTTTCCGAATGCTTTCTCCACCTAGTGTCATCACTTATCGTAGATTCCGGGGAAGAGTAAGTTCACTTTTTATGTTTCCTTTCTTTGAATTGTCTATTTTGAGTATAGTGTGTTTCTGCTGTAAAGTTGCCAGTGTCACGCTCAACTTTCCCTCTGGTTCCTGGCTCAGGACCATTAAACCACTACAATGGCGACACCAACCTGGATCCATAACTATCCCCGATTCCTATAAGCGAATCCGTATTGACAAACTGTCTCAATATTCAGTGGTGGTATATTTTATATACCTCATAAGAACGATTTGGTTTTATTCCATGGCAGATTTAAGCCACTCACTATCACCGAGGCATACAGAATAGGTATATATATTTCCCATGGTATACATATAGAGATTCGCTGCGAAAAACACTTTTGAACAGTGAAGCCACTGATGAGCCGTCGAGCTGGAACTTACCAAGTTCTAGTAGTCAACGGGCTAAATCGCCCACTTGAAAGTTCACTAGCATGACGGTTATCCTGTCACGTCATCTCTAGATATTGGCTATGAAAAAGTATATGATTGCATAACAGGGTCTTTTTAAACGCAAAAACTTTATACTTATTAGATGATACATTTGGACAGATTGTAACAATTTAAAACATCTTCACATATTTAGTGACTTGAAAGGTACAAACAAATACGACTATATTAACACGAAAACGACTATTTAATTGCAAAAAATTAGTTAACTTCTACTGAGAATAATATTTATGTATTGTATCTGTATTATCCACAATATATTGAAAGTATATCTGGACTACCTTCTGTGAATTACCATGTTGTTGTAAGGTTTTATTACGTGCTACCAACTCACCGTGCCTGTAAACAGCCGTTCCTGGTGAAATGCACAACGAGACTACATATTATCATTATCACTACTAAGTTAATTGACTGCCAAAAACAAGCTAAGACATCATGATTTGCAGACTGGGAAAGGACTTGTGTATTTTTCAGCTGATTGTTTTCATGTCTTTTCTGGCCACGTCCCTAATGATGAAATTACTAGTTCTCGCTAAAAATTTGTGGAGTATCTGAGTTGCCAATGAACACCTTTCAAGTCATCACTGAAACATTTCTGGCCCTAAAAACAAGAGGAAGTAGTAAATTTCACAAAAATATTCGTTCAATATCTGGTATTTTTTCACGAGCTAGTAAAAAAATTTGATTTCTTTGTTCTTGCTTCTTGATTATGAGGCAAAGGTTTCTGGCCTTCGAAAAACTTCGGTGTAGTTCGTCCCGCCATTCAACTATCGTAGCTCTGTCATGTGTCAAGTGTCCCATTTAATTGTATGGAAGCGAAACTACACTCAGTTCCTCCCATATCATTATGAGAAAAACACTCGTTCTAAATGGAAAATGACTGCAGACTTTCAACCCCCAGATAGTGTAAACCAATCCTGAAAGATATTTGGACTTCAAGGAGAACACTGCCACTTTTCCCGTGCACAAAGATAATGTGTCCTACCATGAATATAATCCGAAAACTTGTCTTTAGAATACACTGCTACATCCGAATCAAACTGACTATAACTCACTATGGAGAGAGTATTAAGTCAACATATCGCTTTTCGAATACCTCCTGCTTCACTCTTCTGAGGGACCTTAATTATTTGAGGAGTCATCCCCAGAGAAGTTATTCCTACTCCAGAAATAAATAGAGTTCTCAAGGAAACATTCTGACCAACATTAGTCTTGAAAATTCAGATCATGTGCGGGTTTCGCGGGCTTGTTGTCTATCAAAGAAGTGAGCACAAAGAAATCAAATTGGTTTGTACTAGCTTGTAAAAACGATATTGGATATTGGATCTAACCATACTTTGTCTGGAGTGATTCACACTTCATATGCTGACCTTGAGGTTGGTGGCGTTCCAAGTGTTCTGGTTGTATTCGCTTTTGTGGAGTATTCCAATGCTAAGGTAGATTACGTGAGTGATAAACTTTTTTGACGATAAACATCGTGAAATGCCTCTTGTATTTTCGAATCAAAATTATTCAAATCCACACCCAAATGATCAGGAGCTTGTCAAACAGCTGACAGACTTGATTCGACAGAATGTTCCATACTCTAAACGACTTCATGTTTTGGGAATACTCTCCTTTACTACAGATAATGGTTGTGAAAAATTTATCAAGATTGATTCTTCTTTTTCTGCTAGTAGTGAGGCAACGCCTGACGATTCTCCGACCCAAAATGACAGCTCCATTTCAAATTCTGTTAACGAGTCTACTAATTGTAACCTACAAAAGGAGGAGTGTGCTGAAACTTTTCCGCAAAACGCTCAAGTAGAACAGCACAGCTCTACTCACTCTCCTGGTGCTTCTCCTCCTCTTTTACCACCATCAGTTATTCAAATAAATAGGGCGGGGAAAGCAGATGAAAGACCAGTTCAGAATTCATCCGAAGACAGCTTGGTCTCACAGTCTTCCGAAACTGCTTTGTCTAATGAATATGAGACAGACGGTAAGACTCTCCGTCGTTGTCGAAGAAAATGTCGCAATCCTAAACGTCAGATTTTTGACTCCGACTCACATGTTGGAGACAGTGATGTGGAAGATGCTGGTACTGATGTTGAGGATACGGTACATAATAACAAAGCCCAAGATAATGACCCGATTCCCGCCAAAATTCCACGAATGGAGACAGACGTAGTTGTTAGTGTTTCTATTCCTTGTGCTAAAGAAATCCAAACAACCACAGTTTCTAACTGCGACAGTGATTTAATTTCTCCTTCATTGAGTAATAATCCGCAAGAGGTAACGCTCTCAACTGCATTTTCTACTACTCCAGCGGTCTCTAGTTTATCTTTTGTCCCGATGCAGTATGCTACTATTAATAAATGCTTGAATCCACAGGCAAACTCAGCTGACATTACTGCCCTTTCGAATAGTCAGCTAAATTCTGGGACAAAGTACGCTATTTCTGCAAAAACTCTAGGTTTGGGAGATCTTGGTGATTTGTGTGGGATTTTACCGATTAATACGCTTTTAGGAAAGACATTAATATCTGGGAGTGATGTGAACATATCGTCGAAGCTGGTCTTTGCCAATAATACTGGTACTGCTGTATCTACAAGTGGTACAGATACTGTCAACCATTCTGGATTTTCACAGCCAATTAATCAATGTATTAGTGCGGCATCCTGTACAAACCAGAATTTGATGCTGAATCCAAACTTGGCTGCTGCCGTCGCAGCAGCAATTTCTAACTCTTCACTAGCATTCTCAGGTAGTAGTTCGTTGGTCAGTAATGGATCTAGTCTTGCTACAAGCATACCTACGTTGACCGCTCCTTCTATAGCTTTAACAGGACCATCTGGTGAAATTCTGGGTACTATACCAATAGCTTCTACTAATTCGCCGCAAAATATCTTGTCTCCTGCTCTGGGAAATAATGTCCAACCTTCGTCTATGAATAGTTCTTTGACGACGGTTAGTGTCACTTTACCATCCAATCCAAATACTGGTTCCTCAGCTGGTTTGGTAAACACCTTAAACTGGTTACGTTGTGCTACAACTCTGCCAGAATCTGGTTCGCACCAAGTCATAGGTAATTTCACTCCAGCCAATAGTGCTCCATCGTTCTCTGTTGCATCTGGAAATCCAGTTGCACTCTTACATTCTCTAGTCACTCAGCAACAAGGAGTTCAGGCTCAAATACATAAACAGCAATCACTGCAACCAACTTTCTCGGTGGGACCTACTTTAGCTTTAATTGGTACCTTGGGATTAAATTCTCCTGTATCATGTACTGTTTCTGGACAGCATCCATCTGAAACAACATTCACATCGAATACAGGTTTATCGACTTCAGTATCAACAGTCTTACCTACTACCTTACATAACAATATCCAACCAAGTCCTGCTAATAATAATGCAGCTTTAGTCGCCGCTGCTTTGTTGCGAAGCTTGACTAATGTTAAGCACCTGAACCAGGAATTAACTGATCCAAATAGTATTGATACAAATTCATACAATCCTCCAGCATCTCTCACCTTAATTACAAATAGTATCCCATCTTCGATTAATGCTGCTGCGACAACAAGACCCAGTATACTTGGATTGGAAGAATCAGGAGGATCTGTAAGTGGTATTTTAGCTAGCAGAATAGCACAGTCAACTCTAAATGTATCAGCCTTAAGTTCAAGTTTAAATAGTGTTGTTAGTTCAAATCAAGCTCCAACTATATGCAATGCTATTTCCACTCCTACACAAACTATATCTACTCGCAGTTCTATTATGCTTTCATATCCTCGTGGAGGAACAGAAATGAATCTGCTACTAACCCCAGCGTCTGGACACACATTCGGAACGTCACAGTTAACTCCACTTACAGCTGTTCCAGCAGCTCTTTCATTTCAAGGGTTGCCTACATCTCAACCTACTAGCTTAACATTGACTTCTCCTGTTGTATTTCATACTCCAGTTACATCTACTGTGATTCAAACTACAAGTGCTATTTCTGAAAGTACCATAACAACAACAAGTTCTTATACTGGTATACCTTCCACTGCATTTGATCAGACATCACGTAAACCTGAAAAAAGTTTGACTTCTATAACAGACAGTAGTCATAAGGTAACTTCGAGTACAAATCAAACACCAGTTTCAAGCTCCGATCCCACTTCATCTGCTATTGACAGGATTTTACAAACTATCAAGGGATGTATGAGTGCTAATGCAAACAAAGAGTCGGAAAATAAACTGAGAATACGCAGAAACGAGAGTACTAACACATACCAAACAGTGAACAGTGATGAGGCTAATAGCCATAGAGTAAATGATGCCAGAAAAACAATTCCCAACAAATTTTCTGCTGTAAATAAGAATGGTGTTTCACTTGAAAATGATTGTGTTTCTCGTTCGGCATCGTCTGTTGATCGCTTACCTCTTCCACCATTACAAAAAGGCATTACAGAGTCGTCAGATACTTGTTCACCACTTTCAGTTAACAAGCTTTACAGATGCAGATACTGTGGAAAAACCTTTAATAGGAAATTTTGTCGTGAACGACATGAAAGACTTCATACAGGTGTGAAACCATATTCGTGTGAGATTTGTGATGAGAAATTCATTCGTCTTGAAGACAAAAAGCGACATGTTAGATCATTACAACACTATCTTTCTGGCAGAGGATCATTAAGAAACAGTGGACTAGATGAACGATTAGATGAAAATGTAGCCGTAGTTGTAGAACCATCCAGTGTCTTACCATTGCTTGCACAAACTCTCCAAGGCACGGTAAATGCAGACTCTTCTGAAAAAGGAACTGATACACTCTGTACTAATACAGACGAAGCAAACTTTAATTGTCATGTTAGTGAGAATGAATCAGGTGTTGAAAAAACTGCTGCAGAGCTGGAGGGTGAATCGTGTAAACCAGAAGATAATAAACCTTGTAATAATAATAATGAGTCGAAGAGTGTTTCACAAGTTGCATTGGTTGATGGTAATCATATTGGTGGAAATTTAGACACCGAAGAGGAATTTCGAGAGAAAAGCAAGCTGGATGAAGCATCAGATGATCTGCTTACAAGTCCTCGAATAACTTCAAAGATACAGATAAATAAGGTGAAATGTCGATCAGCTTTAAAAGAGACTCAAACAGCTGTAAATTCTACTACTGAAAACCATTGTGAAATAATTAAAATTCCCAAAGTTGTTCTTCTCACTACCGAAGATACTTCTGATGTTAAGTCCACTTCGTAGTTATATTATTATTATTGTTCTTATTACTACTTTATTTCATATAAATTACTTCCTGCAACCATTCCAAAAACAACTGGGTGATACGCTTTATTCGCATTTATATATATATATATATATATATATATATATATATATATATATATATATATATATATATATATATATATTGATAATTTGTATAGTTGTAAAACATTTTCGTTATCACCTCTTTGTAGACATATTCCATTATTACTCACATTTACTAAATCCTTTTCAGTTAAATGTTGTAATATTGTACAAATCAAGGAGTTTATCTTTAATTTAACCTTCTTTAAAATATTTATTGGTACATAATTGATAATGGTATAGTGCTGATACACGAGGTATTCCTGTGGTTATTCATCAATGTATCACCGGCTTTCTTTCGATTTGTATTTGTGTTTATTTTACTTGCTTGCATTTATATTTTACAAGTCAAAAGTTGTATCTGTGTGTTTGTGTGCATCAGTTTTCAATGAACCGGACTTTTATTAAATCTTAGTTATATGCACAACTCTTTCTTTTTTTACTACTTATATATGTGTTTGTGACGCAATACTGTTCGATATAAAAAATAACTATTTATCCACTGTTATTTGTCTTTTTATTGTGTCGATTACTGACAATAAGCTGTTGTCGTCCTATTAGGATTTTGATTATCCCATTTCCTTGAGTTATGTATTCTTGATAAACTGTTAAATGAGGTAACGGTACCTTGTTCGGACACTAACTTAGTGGTATGCGTCTAGCCCTTTATTTGCCGCCAGGATGAATTCTATCCGTCTATCAAGTTTGCAATATGACCAGCATGCCACTAGGTGGCTCTCCATCACGGTGGTTGGAGGCAATCGGCAAGAAACCTTTGAACTAGGTGTCAATCGCCAGACCGAATAGCTCAGTGGTAACGTCTCTGACTGAAGGTGGCATTAGGTGACATGAGTTCGACTCTCAGAAGGGACATGACTACCTTCAAGACTTCAGATATGCCTAACTGACTGACTGGTGGGTGCCAACAAGCACGAAACCTAAGTCAAGTAGGGCTTGCCTCCAACCGTCTACCTGACAACAAGAACTCTGAGATAACTGTGCAGTTTGTTTTGTTAAGTTGTAGCATACAAAGTATAAGCACTGTATGGGGTTAGCCTTTGCTTCTTATACGTTTAATTTTATCATCCCATATGCTATGCTAGGGACATCTTCTGATGTACTACGGTTTGCGTAAATGTAAAATCTAGGCTGTCAGTATAAAGTTCCCAATTAGTGCTTTATTCGTACACAAACACTTGTTAACAATAACTGAGTGACTATTGTTTAAGGCAGTGAAAATTAAGTCCACCTTTTTGTTGTTAGTTAAGAGCATTATTCTAAGGCGGCGCATCAGTTTGGCTTTTGTCTGTCACTGGATAAATAGGCTGTTGGAATATGTATTGGAAACAAAATCTGTTGTCTATCTATCTGTCTATCTAAAATATACTTTTATGAGTAATTTTCACGTCTCATGTGAACATCATACGACAATCTAGATAAGTTACTTCACAGAGTCCTATCTAAGGTTCTAGACATTGAGGAAGTCCTACTTAAGCTGTTACACTTTACGTTTTCACTAGATATTGTAATGATGGTAGATATATTTGACTATTTACAGGTTTTATTACTCCACGAATCAAATAAAGCAGTCATAGGGTATCCGGTCTCTCTAGATTCATAGCAAAAACTTGTGATTAGAAGTCCTAGTCAACTATTTCTTTCATATCATTGATACCTAACTATTGCTGTGCTCGCCGACCACGCCTCAGGTGGTCTTGGGGGTTTGATCCCCGGCCACTGACGCACTTCTTTACCTCACTGGCTAAGCCAGTAGTAAGACAAGTAAAAAGGAAAGGTTGGGCATGAGGCTAGGCATCCCATCCTGTAAAAATAATCACCACTGCTACAGCAACTTCAAGCCTCTAGCTTGAAGCAACCCTAGGTTTCACTGGGAATTAAACGAAAAAAGATTGATACGTACTAAGGCTTTCGCTTCTCATCTAAAATCCTCATGAATTCTATTATTTATACGTTTGATTTTAAACCGTTGTTTAGAAATATTAACAATGTTTTAGTAGAATCTAACTGATATAGACGGTTTGAATGGACTTCTGTATGTGTGTTGCATTAGTTAACAAGCAATCATCAAAGCTTGGAAAAAAAACCATAAGATTCTTTACTATTCTTCGGATTACAGCATATTAGCCCTATCAAAACGTTAATGTAACAGAAGCAGTGCTTATTGTAGGCAAAACTTACCCTAATAGTGTAAAATCCAGCCTTGTTACTGTTTAACTTAGGAATTTGTTGGTTAGGGCAAATAAGGCTTATGAAATTTATGCATTAGTCTGCATTCAGATGAAAACCTGTAGGCACATTCTCGTATGTCTTCGAGTTCATGATTCCAAGGTCTTTTTAAATATCAACGGTAAAAGAGCCTCACTTAAGCATTACAGAATATACGTCGAGAGTTTAAGTCGACCAATAATCTTTATGTGTAAAATGGCTATTACGTTCTTCTAGGAAAATCGCAGTTTACTGTCCATTCGTATCAAAATATATATTTAATAGATTACTGTCAGTGAATTCAAGTTTACAAGTAGCCATAACATCAACGTAGCTATCGTGTACTTAGAAATAATTGTAAGCGTATTGAGCGATTAAAATTTCACATTATATGCTGAATGCAATTCGAGGTGAAGATAGGACTCATTTCATAAGGTTCAGGTGACTTTGCTACTTTGCGTTCAACACATCTAATTCAAAAACAGGGGCCAAATAAGCTTCGATTTGTTGATCATCTCACTTATTTGAAGAACTGTACTCGTTTAATTACTTAATTACCCTCCCCCATTATACTAATCGCTTAGGACTCCGCTTAGATCTAGTTTACGTCAACGAAGCTAGACATGTGTCGATTAATACGATGCTGTAGAGACGGGTCGTATGCCAAAGTTGATGGGGCTTGAGACTAACGAATACCAAGATGACTGACTATCCAGAGTTAGTATATACTTAAAGAAACTGAAACAGGGAATGCGTAAACCTATGAACCTATTGACCATCGATTTGAACCAACGTTTGGATGGAATCTTTAAAGACAGAGCAAAAAAAGAGCTTTAAATATCATTTCTCGAGTTCAGACACAATGATACGGATGGATAAATACCTCGTTAGTCCCTGACAATTACTCATTGCCTATTCATGACAAGATTATTTCATAGAAATAAGTAAATAAGAAGCCATAAGCTTAAGTCTGGCTCTCATGAGTGCTAATCAGAACAATTAGATATGAAACAGAGGTATTGAATGATAATTCCAGTTTCCTAGTCAGCTGTAAAAACCGAAATGATTATTATTATTATTGTTCCCTTGGGTTCTTAGCGGGACATAGGGCTTCAACTGCACGTCTCCACTTGCCAATTCTGTCTTCCTTTTGCTGTACTTTTCACCTGAATCCATCTTAGTCCATACTCTTTCAACTCCCCTCTAAATGATCTCCTCCATGTCACCCTTGCACTGACGACCGACTCGCCGCCTTCCTTTTGCCTTGGTTCCACTCAAGCAATCGCCTGACGCGCGCGCGATGTCACTCAGCGGCCTCCTCAGCGACTGTCCATCCCCATCCATCTCAATACACTTTCTCCTGCATATTTGTTGGTTGACGATTGGTTCTTCCTTTGTTTGCTTGTTCCCATAGTTTCCCATAGTTGGTGATTTTTTCCGGCCCGGCCATCTGATCTTCAGTATAGATCCAGCGAAGACAGTTGTTAATAAAGGTAGGTCTGCAATAGCCTGTTGGAGATATTCGTTGTGATCCGCCAGCCAAGTCTATGTTCCGTATAGAAGAACTGACTGACTTGACGTTGTTTGTATTGAAAATCCGACTGAATTTTGTTGTTGATGCTGGCTGAGTGAGTGACGAAGATTTCCAGATTAGATTGGTTTCAGGTTGATGAGTGAATGTGTTTCTCGCCCGCCTTCCCGATTCTCGCTCGATTTAACATCCTCATCCGTTCCTACTGCGTGTAGTTGAGACAATGCTCCCTAGATAAGTGAGTGAATGAAGTAACCTCTTTCAAATCCCTCCCATTGATGGTGATTGGCACTGGATGTTGCTGCTGTTGTTGTTGGTTGGTTGGTTATTTTCATAACCTCCGTCTTGTTTATGTTCACCTGGAGTCCTGTCTTCGCCGGCTGCTTCTTCGACCAGTTTGTCGTTTTTCGCTTGTAAGTCTTCGATTTTGTGTGACATCAAACATAAATCATCCGTAGCCCAAATTTCACAGGCCTATCATAGATATCAGGTGTACGTCGGCGGGGGATCGAACCTCGGACCATGTGCATGGTGGTCGACGAGAGTCCTAACCACTGTCCTGGAATGTCTCGCTAACTACACCTAGCACCACCTCTCCTCATTCTCGCTTGAATTTATCATCAATATAACGGTAAATGAGTGGTGCATTTTTCAGAATGTCTTGTATCGAGCGCCGGTTATTGTACGAATAGGCACACTCACACACACACACACGGACATTATGTATGCACAATTAATCTTTTTCTTGTATATTTGAATCCCCACATTATAATGGAATGGGGTGGGTGGGGAGACTTTCAAACCAAGGGAAAAGAAATGAAAACAAAAAAAAAATAAGACCGGAGCACCAAAAGATAATAATGATTGTACACATCATGAAATTTTGCAGGGGAGAAAAATATGTATAGACTCACTTCAAGTTTACCTCATTACATTTGGAAGAGTAATAATAATGATAGATGTTGAATATATAATACTTATTACTAGTGTATGTGTGTGAGAGAGTGTTAGAAAATAGGTTTCACATCGATATGTTGGTTGGTTGTTCTTGCTGTTGTTTATACTGTCCATGCACTACACTGCTACTCACAGTTGACAAAAATCTGAATATATAGCGGAAAAACCAAAAACTGGTGATGGTGGTGGTGGTGAAATTGAATTGAGAAATAAGGTAGATGACGAAGAAGAAGTCGAAGAAGGATGATGAATCACTGAATACATACATAGCGAAAATTTCTTTTTATAATAGAGTAGAGTAAAGTAAAGTAAAAAAGAAGAGGGTGAAGGCATTATTATGTAAAAAAAAAAGTTGGAATATTGTAATAAGGTCATGACACTGTCTGTAGTCATTATATAATATTATGTGTCATGATGTAACAATGAAGTCATCCTGCACATTATTATTCTTTGATATTACAAACAGCATCATGAATAGCTTTAGAAATACGTTCAATATTTTCTGTAGTTAACGCGCACATATTAATACGACCATCATTCATTACATATAAATGATGTTTTGATCGAAGATATTGAACTTGTGATCCTAGTTTTTATGAATTTAAAAAAAAAACAAGAATAAGATATATGAATGAATAAATGACGGCAAAGAAGTGATGAGAACTTGAGTCACAAGAGAATTCAAATACAAAAACAACTTCCGTATTACCTCTGTAGTCTACACTACCGCCGATTGATCGACACGCATTCTAACACCTACCACCTACTTCTGTTTTTTAATCTCACCTCTATTTCGTATAATATCAAAATTTCCACTAGATAACACGAACCAGAGAGTATACAGTATTGCTGCTTTTTGCGCGTTAAACCTCAGAGTAATTTACTTCATGATATTTCAAAGTACTCCAGAGGAGATTAGCAATTAATAGTGTTCTCTGAGCTGCTGACTGGTTTAGTTGCGGAGGTTTCGTCGTCCGTCCTTCTGGACAATATTCCTCACTTTCAGTGCAATTTTTAGCATAAAGTGAACTGATTTAAATTTCTTCATGAGTGATAGATTTGCGTCTCCCGGTAACCATCTTTACATACTTGGATTTTAAACTTTCTGGTCACATGATCTACTTTTTATTAGTTAGTACATTTGGTCTAGACTTCGTTCAAGTACCAGGCTTCTAGGAATACCCTGGCACTTTTGATGTTCCATGTGTCTAAAATTTCGACATTATCCCAATCGTCATATTGATGTCCATAATTATCTATATGCATTGATATAAAAGGGGGATATACATCATGTCATTTCATCATAGCTGATTTGTGTTCCTAGATTCTGATTCGAAGCGGATGCCCACTTTGGCCAATGTAATGTCTGTTACAGTTCATACAATTTATTTTGTAAATGGTATTAATTTTATTTCCTTTTTCTGTTGGATCTTTCGGTTTGCACAATATCAATGAATGAAGTGATTTTGACTGGCTTGTGGTATGCTATATCTATTTCAAACGGTTTCAATATTCTAGCTGTTATTTCAGAGATATTTTTGCTAACAATATATGGTAGGATGAATTTTCTTGTTTTCTTTAATGATGGTTTCTTGTTGGTGTTGTGATTCGATTTTAAACACTTTTTGATGAAATTGTGAGTGGGATATCCATTCCTCTTTTTGAAGACCGTTAATAGGTATTTTTCTTCCATTCTTTTCAAAGTTGGAGAGTGCTACACACTGTGTTTGAATTCTTTTAAACAATGTTTACATTTCGGAGAAGAGACTGTTCTGTTTTTGGCGACTTCATTGCCTCTACTACTACTAAAGACAAAAGACAACTTTCGCCTACTTACATAGCCTCGTAGAAGCTGTAGCTCTACACATAGACTACAACTCACAGTCATACTGAACTCATTTATATATCACCTTTATTTATATTTAGCTTCCTTTATCGATTGATTAATATTAACAATTGTGCTTATGACACAATTTCCTTCGGTTGAACTACCACATTGTTTTCTTTTTTAGTAAATCTTAAATGTGAGGATTATTCATAAAATTCACTTTATTCACATAGTTCCGATCTCCTAATACTTTTGTTATTTCGATATCATTATAGTAGGTAGTGTTGTTAATTCTTGTGTAATGTATAATTGTTGTGGATAAGTTTTGCACAAATAATTTTTACGCCATTTTATTAACAAGGTTACTGTTATCATCGATATAATAATAATAATAATAATAATAATAATAAACAGTAATCAGGAAATGTCCTTCATGCACAAATCAATAAATTCGTACATAATTACTGCATACAGACTATAGTTTATGTTAAATGTGTGATTTTCATGAGCTGGGGATTTGATTTATTTGACCAAGGATTGAAATCGATTAAAGAGAGAACCATTGAAAACCAGTGCTGGATTACTACTGGACAGTTTTGTTTCTAGATAGAAGTCGTGACCAGTAATGAAATTGGTTGGTGCCAGTCACCACACTAAAATCACGGATTGGTAGAAATTAGAATTCATGAGCTTACCACCATTGAGTCGGATCCCAGTGGCTGAATGGTCTACGAGCTCGCCTGCCTCCCTGCCTGCCTTGTAACCGGACAGTCCTGGATTCTAACCCTCACGATGGGTACGTACTGATGATGAGTCCCAGATAAGGATGAAACAGCTGTCCAATACTGCCCGCTCATTCTCAATGGTTCTCCTAACTAATATCATTCCGTAGTCAAGCTTGAAACAAATATGCCCTTCTTGTAAGCTAAATCAGCCACAGTTTTCTCCTCTTAGCTACAATGAATGTAGCGATGAAATGAGACAAATCAAGCAAATATTTGTTAGCACTCGCAACTAAAGTTATGTAGGGTACACGAAAGTTTTAGGTTTGATTTAAGATACACCAAAAGACGGAGGTTGTGAAAATAACTAACCAACCAACAACAACAGCAGCAACATCCAGCGCCAATCACCATCAACAGAAGGGATTTGAAAGAGGTTACTTCATTCACTCACTTATCTAGGGAGCATTGCCTCAACTACAAGCAGTCGGAACGGACGAGGATGTCAAATCGAGCGAGAAACACATTCACTCATCAACCTGAAACCAATCTAATCTGGAAATCTTCGTCACTCACTCAGCCAGCATCAACAACAAAATTCAGTCGGATTTTCAATACAAACAACGTCAAGTCAGTCAGTTCTTCTATACGGAACATAAACTTGGCGGGCGGGTCACAAAGAATATTTCCAACAAGAAGCAATCGCCCAACAAATATGCAAGAGAAAGTGGATGGAGATGGATCGGACACTCGCTGAGGAGGCCGGGCCGCTGGATTACATCGCGCGCGCGTCAGGCCATTGCTTGAGTGGAACCAGGCCGAAAGGGAAGCGGTGGCGAGTGGGACGTCAGTGCAAAGGTGACATGGAGGAGATCGTGTGAAACAGTATGTTGAGTTGAAACAGTATGGACTAACATGGATACAGGTGAAAAGTACAGCAGAAGACAGAAGCAAGTGGAGAGGTGCAGTTGAAGGCCTATATTCCACTAGGAACCCAAGGGAACAATAATAATAATATTATAATAATGTTTTGTCACAATGCTGAATCATTTGCTGTCTTTTTGTTGCCAAATCTATCTCCCTGCTATTTGATATTTTTATGTCGATGAAGACCTCTCTATATACATACTACTGATAAATCTTATGAGTAGCATACGCCACACCGTGATCTTCTAATCAGCAGTGTTCAATGGTTCCAGGCAATAGACATAAAGTACAGCCTTAAGGTGTTTTCATGGCATTCTGTATTCTCCAGGAAAATATATTTGCAACCATCATAGAAGGATATTCGAATATATATTTCACTAAGTGATGCCCAGTAGCATCGACTATCTGTCCACATTCTGCATACATTCTAGCAAAAAGTGTCGACACGCATGGAACTTAGACGCAACCACTTTGTGCCCACGAAAAGTGCATTTCCTAGTTTGATAACCATATTACAAAAATGGTCAATAGAACCAATTGAACAATTAGTTATTAAACAAGATGAAATTAGTTTTGATCACGGATTGATATTAGTTAGAGAACGATTGTGAAAACGAGATGTAACAACAGAAGGCGAGAACACCGAAACCAAGGTTTATCTTCAATTGATTAAACCGTTGTTTTATACATATACAGTTTTATATTATTCTTTAACCCAATCACTGAGCATGTGATTTTGGTTTACATCAAACAACGTGAAATAGTACTAGTACTAGCAGTACTGTAGTATGCCTCCTACATGCCTCATGCCTCCTACCTACTCAGACTATTCAACAACGCACATACAAATAATGTATTTACTATGGAACATGAAAATGATGGAAAGTTCCATTTCCTTGACGTCGCCATGATACGCCTAGAAGATGGTAGTCTCCAGAGGTTAATTAATTTACCGAAAGCCGCCTACATGGAATGGACAATACTTGCATTTTAATAGTTTTTTGTCTAAATGGCTATAAACGAGCACTAGTCAAGACTCTGTATACTATAAAGCGAGGAGAATATGCTCTGCAGAAAAAACTAGATGAAGAATTTACGAATCTCGAAAAGGTGCTGAAAAACAACGGTTATCCTCAGAGATTCATAAACAAATATGGAAGATGTGAAGGCTCAAATACCAAAAAAAAATCACAGTTGAAAAAAAAAGCCTGTCTTCATTCAACTATATTTTGAAGGTGAGAACATTGCAGAAATGGTCAATAGAAGACTGAGGATGTCACTAGCCAGCTAAGTTGGTTCCCGTCCATCGAACAACATGCTCTTTGATGCAGTCAAAAGTCGATAGATACCCTACTTATGTTAACTCCAACTGTGTACACAAATTTACGTGTATCTGCGGGAGCAGTTACATTGGGAGAACAGAAAGAAGAGCACACCTCTGATTTTCTGAATATGTGCCGAAAAGCCTACGGTCTCAAGGGAACAAACTCTTATAGTGGCGCTATTACCAGACATCTCCTCGACACGGGTCATGAGGTGGAAATCGAGAAATCCTTCAAAACTATCGATAGACAAAGGAGGTCGATTCTCCTCAAGTTTGCCGAAGCAATTTCTATCAAACGCTTCAAACCAGATTTATGTGTTCAGAAGGAAGTAGTTATTAGTCTTTCCTTGCCTTGGTAACTGGATGTCTTTATTCTCTCATCTGATTACGTAATCTTTGTCTTTGACTTCACCCTCCTTTTATAATCTGTAATTTTGCTTGTCTTTTGTTTCTATGATTTGAGTTCAACTCAGTACATTGTTACCTAATTTATTAGTCACTCTGTATCTAACGCGTATTTCATCTTTATTACGTAACTCCTTTATAACTGTATGCATACATTTATTTTGTTTAAACTTGAACTGTCTGAGTAAAACCCAAATAAACGCAATTTTCTGAGCACTGTTTACTAATTGTGGCACATTCTGTCAACTGACAACATGTAAAATTTGCAAGTATGTTAAAACGTTTCTGTACTTAAACCTCAAAATTTATTTAGCCTGTAAGCAGCAGCTGATGAGAAGCCAACGAAATAAGCAGTGATGGTACCATATTATTCTGCACAA